TTCAGCATATCACAGTGTCCAAGCCCTTTCACATAAGGACTTATTGAGCTCCCAAGGGTGGAGCTGGGCTACTCTAGAGTCAAGAACTGGCTAAATGACCATTCTGGGGAGCAGCTGCACATTTGCTAGGACTTGCTCCCACTGTGATATACCACATGGAGAGAGGTTATGAGCAAAGGGGTCATATATCCCCTGTTACAGGGTAGCCCAGAGTGAAACCAGGCTGCCTGTCTGTGGGTCCTCACCTGCGCACTTAAAATTTAATTGTTCTGCAGGCACACACAAAAGGGTTTATTTACAAAAGGGGAAAGGAAAAGGAACAACTCAGGGAAAGAGAGAGAGATACAAGGTAACTAGAGTATTTTACCAGCTCAGCTAACTTGGAGATTTAGTCACAAAACTGATAGCCCCCAGTCACACCATCTGAGAGCCATTACCCCAGAGAGAGAGAGAGAGCCGTTAATCTCTCCAGAGCAACCGTTGAGAAACCGCTTTCTATTTATCCCCAAAGTCCCAGAATTCCTGCTTAGCTCCGCTCTTGGGTCTTCGCAGTTCTCTCCTTGGTATTGCTGGGAGTTGTAGTTTTCCAATCACTGGTGTAGGGGGTGGAATCCAAAAAGCTGGAGTATGGGGTGGAGTCCACAAAACTCTGCAGAGTTCCTTTGGGACATCCTTCCCCTTAATACCCTACCTCTCATCCTCTAGTCCTAACTGCCAGAGACAAAAAGGACCCGACACTTTCTAAAATGCTAAAGTGACTCAGGTCACATAAAATATAGACACATATAATGTAATAAGGCCTATTAATAAAGTCAGGTAAAGGGGCATGGGTGAAGGACAAGTTATTTGGATAAGATAGTTGAGTGAAAGATTTCTTAATATCAAAAATTAATATTCCTCAATTAAGTGAGGTCTTTATGACTATAGATTAGAATGTACTTAAGAAAAAATGAAAGCAACTGCCATTATAGAACACCATGGTGAAGAATGTTCTAGAGTCAGAAAGATGCTGAAATATCCTATGCCTTAATCTCCTCATTTTGTCGCTAATAGCTGAGGTAGAGTTACACCTGATGTCCTGAGGGCACATGCTGTTTGGTAAGAGATTCAGGATTAAACATCTTTAAGATTAGGGTTGGGGTGGGGGAGAATGGGGAACTTCTCTAAGAACAATCCTGAGGGGAGGAGCATGGGACAGAGGTACTAACTTCAAGGAAGAGGCTGTTTCCACAGAGATAGCAGCAGCTGCCAGGGACGAGCAGGTGGCAACCATCAGGGGTTTACTTTGAAATCCTTTCTGAGGTCATATCTGACACCGCATGCATAAGGGAGAAGGAAGGAAGGAAGGAGTCAGCCAGTGGCCAGAGGAAAGCAGGTGTTTCCAGCCGGAGACCCATGAGATAGGCTGCTGGTTGAGGGGGTCTGTGTGGGACTGGACAAAGCAGGGAGCACCCGGGTCTTGACAGTTACAAGGTGGGAGCCCCCTGCCCTGAACTCCGTGGAGGAGGGGCCATAAGACAAAGGAAGTGTGAGCAGCGGAGCTCTGCCATTCTGTGGCATAGCAGCAGGCAGCCACGGCCTGGGTGAGGGTGGACATGGAGCCAGAACTGAGAATCCAAATGAGCTGGAGCATGTGACATTTTATACCAGGTGGGCTATATTTATGAGTTCCAGAGTTAAAACCCTGACCAAGAAAAGGAGGAAGAGGGGCAGGGGGTGAATGAAGAATGGGGTCAATAAATAGTGGACATGTCAGGTCAACCAATGATTATACAATTTTTTTAATCTTTGAAACTTCCCCAGATTTATTATTTTTTCCCCCCAGTTAAAACAGCAGGTGATGTCTGGGTAGCCTTGAATGATTTCAGCAAATGGAATTTATTTCCTTTTAGCATCTATCCCCAAAGGGGTGAAAGCAATGTAGATGGTGGTACCGCCTGGGGGTAGGGAAGTGATGGCAAAAGGAAGGTTGGCTTCTTCAGTCCTCTGTGGATAGGAGAGGTGCTAGGGATTACATTTAATCATTAATAGCCACTGATTTAATCACTCATGCCTTCATAGTGACACCTCTGCAAAGCCTTCAAAAAACTGAGTTTTGAGAGCTTCCAGATTGGTGACTGCATCCACATGCCAGGAGGGCGATGGACCCCAGCTTGGGGGACAGAGGCATCTTGACCGTTTATTTTAATCTGACCATTGTTTGCACTGTATTTGTATATAAATAAAGGTACAGTATTTTGCTGAGGTCGGTATTGTAACAAATGATCAAATCTGTGGGGGTGGGGACATGAGAATCCAGAATTGCCCAAGTTGGCTGGGAAGGATTGTGGATAAAATGCACATCCCACCTGTGGCTGTTTCAGAAGTGGAGGCAATCTTTTGAGGTTGAGCCCTTTGATTTATGGGATTTGAAGCCAACTCCACATAGATAAGATCAAGAATTAGAGTGATCATATATTTGGAATCTGAGAGTATCACGAATCACTAAAAAGCTTTCTGAAGAGCCTGGTCTAAGAAACTGATTCTTCCTCATCTCCATAAACAAGTTGCATTTTACATGGACATACTAATTCAGTGGGGATACACTACCAGCCGAGTGTGCACCTGTGGCTTCTGTAAAGCTGCTTGCTTGGGTCACTAATCTTTTTTGTGCCCTTCAAATCATCATGGACCTGCCACTGTCCATAAGCATTCTACCCCTGGATGCTGAAATGTCCGGGGGTCATTTTTTGAGATTCTGTAAATGTTATGCTTATCGAGGATGCTAGGGGGTTGAGCACACGAGAATGCTAGTGATATTTACACAATGGAAAAGTATAGTATAATAAAAAATAATTTTGGTTTTTGTCTCTACTTTCTGGCACAGAACTAAAACCACTGGAATTTCCTGAGTGTCTGCATTGTTCATCAAGAGCCCCTTTTGAACACACCTGGGTTTATGCTAGTGAGGTGACTCCAGCCTCTGGAGTGGCTACAATCAGAAAAATCCGGGAAGCAGAGAGTTGGAACTTACAGTCCCCCAGCACTGAGTTCTGGGAAAGAGTGGGGGCCTCTTCACATCCCCAGGGGAATGTGCAGAAACAAAGACAAGGTCTAGCCTCTGCAGAGGAGGTGGGACAAGCTCAGTCTGCAGGATGACGCTGGCAACGCTGCTCTGGAGACTAATGATCTCTCCTGGGCTGAAGGAAGCAGCTTCCTGCACATCATCTGTTCACGTCTATGGACGTGCTGGAGAACATCTGCCACCCGAGAAGGCCCCTTGAAGACCTCCAAGTCCTCGCCCCGCTGCTGCTTACTCTGAAATGCAGCACTGCATTTTGCAGCTCCAGTGACTGAACTGACAGGAGTACTAAGGAGTTTGGTAGCTGGGACTCCTCTAAAGCTGACAGCTACCCTCTGCCCCACCCCCCAGGCTCACCAAGTATTCTTCAGATGGCCTGTGGTCTGGGAGGTTCCCGCTCCCCTCTTTCTTTACTCCTTCACTCAGGCACCAGGCTTCACTTCCCTCCCCAGCTTCTCTCAGTTATTTCCCCTAATACAATCTGTGCATGTTTAATCCCATATTGTCCTCTGCTTCTTGCAGAATCTGATCTAATACCAACAGCCCCTTCTGTTTTTATCTAGTTGATGTTTAACCATCGTGACAACAGAAACACAGCAGGTCCATATTTCTCAAAGCAAGGACCTGAGCTTGTGTTTTTTAAAGCTTTGCCAGAGGGGAACAATCATCTCTCCAGTCCTATGGAGGCAGAATAAGCAGCTGGTTCATTGAAAATGATATCAATCTCATTAATGTAAACTAAAAAGGGAGCAGGTTATGACATAACCTTGGTTAGCACTGAGGGATTTGCTTTAAATGTTTTATTAATCCATATCTAGGCCCTGTTTTCAAAATGAGAGGTTAATGACAGTTGCAGTATCTTAATCTTGCTTTTGACAACATCCCCATCCCAATGTCCAGGCTACCCACACCAGAAGCTTAACCACAACTGGTGAAATGATGTTTCTTGACAGGAGAGGCAATGTGTGCAGTGATGTGAGTTCTTTGGAGTCTTTATTGGAATATCCAATAAACAAACATCCAGGATCCCTGAGTTGTCAGATTTCTGCAGGCAGCTGTAAACAGGAGTACCTAGAGGTTTCTTATAAGTTCAGTTCTTCATGTTCAGAAGACATGCAACTTAGAGTCTGACCATTCAGAGAATCTATTCCAGAGGGCTATTAAACAAGTAAAGGAACTCAGGATCATTTTAAAATTGATATTTCAAATGTCCCAGTGGAAAAAGCCCTCCCTCCTCGTCAAAGTCCAGAGAACACTGTCCCCATCCTCCAGGAGCAAGGGCTTCCATGGAGACAAAGCGCACACAATAAACGGCGGCAAAGGCCATTTGTCTTCACGCATGTCAGACAGCAAAACAAGGCTTCTATTCTTTCAATTATTCAACTGCTGAAACTCTACCCCAAAGCCCTACCTTCTAGCCCTTTCTCTGATATGAGGTGCAAAGTCTCTGTGTCTCCATTTTGGGACCAGATGCATAATTTTCCTCTAATAGCAAATTTTTCCTACTTTTTGTTACTGGAAATGTGTTGACCTTTCCTCCAACAGACCAGGAAGGTCAAGAAATACTTCCTAGAGATTTCTTGTGATTGCTTAATTCAGAGTTCATGCAGACACCTGAAAATATGAGAGAAAGACCTAGCAGGACTGCTGAATGGCTTAAATGTGGCCGCCTACAGACAGGTCTACGAAGAGATGCCATGCAGGCTGCTGCTCATGCCTTTGCTACAGCACTGTGTTCTGTCAGCCACAGACTAAGTTGTGGACACAGATCCCTCATGGTCTCACAGCCCTCCTAAAGCCCGCCAGCATTTATGTCCACCTGCATTTTCTTTTTAAAAGATACAAGTGGAAACTACAGCTTTATAAGTCAGCTATCTGGGAGGTTTTACTTTTGAAGGGAAACGACAGTTTGCTGATTGAGAGACCCATCTCGACATACCTTCGGTCTGTGGGGTATAGTTCCACTGTGACCACATCCAGAGAGTTCCAGGCCGAGATGGTCAACCCATTGTACAGACACAGCATGCCTATCATCATGGATTCACTGGTGCCGAACCAAAGGAAGAAACAGCTGATCCCCGAAAGCACCATAGAGCCACCTATCAAAACCAAACGAAAGATTGGAATGTTTTCTGTTATCTCAGTGGAGCATGGGCCCTGGCATATCAAGATCTTTCTATAAAACTGAATCCCCAGAGGAAGCTGCAGATGGGCTGCAAAAAGCACAGGTCCAGATACATGCCCCTGAGTGAAAGGTTTGCCTCTGCGAGGGCCTTCTCAACCCCCAAGCATGAAACGCACATCAATTATTCAGCTACTTAAGTGGAAACATATACATTAGTCATGCATAATTAGTCTTTCAGTCTGTTAACTCATGAAAGCTGCTCAAATGAAATGTAATTAGTCATAATTTTCACGAAAATTTACTCCTAATGTAATATCTTAAGGGATTTCTCCACATTTCTGTGCCTGCAAATCCCTAAGGGGGCAGGGAGTGGGAGCGAGCTCCCTCTAAGTTGCAGGAGCTGCTCTTTTCTTTCTCACATGAAACTGAGCACATACCTAGCATTGTTAAGCGCCCGATTCTGTCCATCAAGAGAGCAGACACGATGTTCCCTGGCAACACTGCCAGTGTCCCAAGGAAGTTGACAAAATAAATCCAGTAGGCACTGTAGTCATCATCGAAGGTAATCTGGCATCCGGTTTTGTTGTGAAAAAATGAGCAGTTTTGAAATTCACTGTCAATGAATTTATATGGCTCAAAATCTGTGAAGAAAAGAAAGACAATTCATCAGGCTCTTGACAGCTACTCATCAGTATATAAAAGACTGTTGAGAATTCTGAAAAGAATCCTGGTACTGCAGACCCCTTGGGGGCTTCATGTCCAGGCTAGTTTGTCGTCTTGGTGTTTTCTTGGTCAAAGTGCAGGGTCTAGTCTAGGACCTCACTTTGCTGAATACAGGGATAAATTAAAGAGTCCAGTTAGCTTCTGATTTCTGTGATTGGCCATTCTAATTCTTCCTCTAATTCCACCACTGGCATACTACTTTATGATGTTACTTTGTTCTAATTATTCTGTTACATAGAGATGATCATTAAAGTACTAATAAAGTACTAATAACCTCCATTCAACAATTACAAGAACCATTTATTTTAAAACTGCGTGAATCAGTTGCATTATTGCCACTTTACAGGACTCTGAGGGACAGAGGAAGAACAGGACTGTCCTTAGGTCCTTGAGATTAAATGTAGAACCTAAGGTCTAAGTGGAAGAATCCACTCAGAAAGCAGACTCAGCTTCATCTGCAGGTCACTAGCACTCACTCTGATTTTTCTTGAATTTGAATCCGACAAAGGGCTTGCAGATGGCGGGTTCTGTTAAAAGGCAGTGAGTGTCAAACTGTTCTCTTGCTTTGCTGAGCAAAATCTGCCAACAAGAACTGCTCTTCTGAGGTTGAGTGGGTTAGAAGACAGCGACAATACTGTTCAAGAAAAGCACTGACCCTGTTCTCATCTGGGTCTGTCAGAAGTGGCTCAGCACCAAGAAGGCAGAGCTGACGGCAGAGTCCTCTGATACTCCTGCCCTCGTGGGGTGCTACTCTGTTCTCATCACAGGACAGACAGACCCCTGTGTGGGGTATGGGGACTTGGAGATGGGGAGTGGGGGAGGTATGCTGGAAAAGAATGGACTTTGAAATCAGACGAAGCCGGGTTCAAGTCTTAGCTGTTACTAGCCCTATGACTGTGGCCAAGTGATTTTTTTTAAGCCTCAGTTATTCAAACCTCAGCTATTCTAAACCTCAGCTATTATTTCAGGAGATAATAATCATCTAACCACCTAGAGTAGGAACATAGTAGGATTTCAGTCATTGTTGGTCTCCCTTTGAAATATGTTTCCCTGGGGAGTTTCCCAGAGATGGACTGGGCTAGAAACTCTCTCTCAAAAAATATAACCAATGTTTTCATCTTTGTTAACTATAGTTCAGGCATGTCCTCTTTAAAACACCAGCTTTTATTTATTTTCATTTTTAATTTTTAAAACATCCTTGTTTATTTTTCATAATATAGGATTTCTTGCTTCAGAAAATGCCAAGTTTTTACACCAGGATGACCAAAACAGATAAATTATAGGTTAAAAATTAAAAAAAAAATCACAGAATTTTTAAAATTCAACTTTAAATACTAGCAAGTCCCATTTGTGCTAAGTCTGACCAAGAAGAAACAGTATCAGCCTACTATCAGCCCAATCTGACTGGGGGACTCCATTTACACTGTAACCTCCACTTCCCCTAAGCCTCTGCCCACACTACAATACAGGTGGCAGGCATGTTTCTGCTCTTTGAAGCAAGGTTAACCAGAGCACCTACCTGTGTTGTCAAAAACAGTATCAATAAAGGTGCAGTTCTTGAAGTAGGTGTTAACTGAAGTCACATCCTCAAAGGTGCAGGCCTTAAAAACTGAATCTTTGAAAGTTACGGATTTGAACTTGACACCTAGAAATCTGCCCAACACACACATACACAAATTCGTATCAATGATTGTGTCCATCGGGTTTAAAGCAACGTCAAGTAAGATTAGCGATGAGGCGCTCCCCACTCCCCCACCACCATGAACTCTCTTAACTGGAAAGGCAATTGGATTTCCCAAGGTCTGGTTTTCCCCTCTCCCTTCTGCAGCCTTTGTTTATCTCATTGCTCATCAAAACTATTTTCCAGTAACAGGAGAGATTATATTCAAGATAACTTCACGTATTGCCGAAATGTTTTGTGAGATATCAATTGAAGGTTGAGAGTTTGGAGACTACCTGTGGCCATTATGTCTTTTTTTTGCAATCCTATCCTCTTGTTCCTTACCATCGGCTTTTAGTTGAAAGTTCTCTACCTGGGTTCAGTGTCTCCAACCTGAGGATGTGCCCCCATGCTCACTTTCAATGAGGGTCTGTTCCCTAATTAGAAACCCAACACTTTTTTTTTTAAATTCTAGTGTAGGAATTGCTAATTATCCTGAAGAGAGGACATAAGAATTCCACTCCGTTTATGTGAGAAAGGATTGACTCCTGGGTGAAGAAACTTCTAGGCCACATTCATTTCCAAGAATATTTTTTTTCAAACAGCCAACTGGTATTCCTTGAATCAAACAGAATGATAAATGCTCTGTTTATTTTTGGGAAACATGTAGAGATGATAACTGCTCATATGCATTTTGGGGTGGATCTAGGTGGTGAAGATGACAATAGTCTTAATGACATGGTGTTCTGGAAGAGTCAGTCTATGATTCAGATCTCTCTATGTTGAGAAGGACTTCCAGGAGATGTGGATAAATATTTGACAAGGTGTCTGGCAATTTATTAAGATACTATGCATATATATGTGCAGGTCAGCCATTGTGAGGAAAATGTTTGTTCAACTGGGGTATTTTTTATACTAAATACCACTCTCATTTGGGCAAGAAAGGACTGATCTCCAGGACAAGTGGGCTAATGTTATAGCAGCTCACTAACTTATTCTCACTCTATGCCTGACTGCACTTGTCATTCAGAGTGCACTGTCACCCCACAGACCTACCAACCACCTAAAATAAACATCTTTATTTCAACCCCACTCCAGGGGTCCAGAGTAAAACCACCTAAACCATAAATTTACCCAAGAAAGCAAGGTAAATAATGGCACATTTTATAATGATTGACTTTCTGAAAAGACCTTTTTTTTTTTTTTCTTTTTTTTGGAATGAGTAACATGTACACTGAGAGCACATAGTACAAAATTAAAAATGTTGAAAATGGGAATAAGTTTTTCCCCAGGCATCCTCAAGTCACCTGGTTCTTATACCAAAGAGAACACCATTGTCATCTCCCCATGTGCTTGTCCAAGGACATTCTGTACAGAGTGCTAGCAATCCAGACACTCTAGTCTACATTTGGCTTGTCTATTGAGAGTCATCGTGGAGATTATTCTGTATAGTATGTAAAGGGTTGACATTTTCCTCAATGGAAAAATTGTATTTAAAAAATAAATTAGCTAGTGGTATTTCCAATTTTTCTAAAAGACAAAAAATTCTATATTCTAAAGTAAATGCTTTATAAGAATTTTAATCTATTATCAGTCATTATATTGCCAATGTTAAAAAAGTTCTTAGTGATGATAGAATAGCCATCTTAGAACTTTAAGAAGTATTGCTAAATATGTGACAGTCAGACATAAACATTTATCAGGAACTTCTAAAGGAGTGACAATACTTTTTAATTAAATGAAGTAAATTTTCATATCCTGAATTACAGTGCACTGTATAATATTTCTGTGGAAAAACAAGTGTTGATTTGATTCAGTATTTTAAGTGGAAGCAGATTATCCTGTGTAGTTTGGATTAAGGCTAGGACCCTCACCGAACAGCCACTTTGAACAATTATCTCCATGTGGGTAATTTTCTTTTTTATTACAGCAACCATAAGCATCCCATAGAATTCCTTTTATCACTCCCAAACTGGTTTTACTTGGGAAACTGGATTGTCTTATATTTTTACTTTTGTCACACTTGAAATTTGTTCAGTTTCCAAAGAATGACATAAACCATCAGGAATACATACCAGCAATGATTTCCTCAGACAATAAATAATGGGTGTGAACCAAGACTTTGTCTACCTATTTTCCCGCTGAAAGGATGAACCAGAGCCAGTTAATTCTCTCTCAATAGGCATTCTAGAATCCCAACTCAAAAACGTCTTTGGCTAACTTATTCCATATTTTCAAAGCCCTTAACGTTGGAGGAATCATTACTGTTAACTAACTGACACTTCCTGACACAACTGAACCCCAATTCTTGATTCAACATAGCAGAAAAGGAAGACTTGTGCTAAAGGGTCTGTTTTTCAGTAATAGAAGACAGTTATCAAATTACACCTTGGGCTTTGATTTAACCCTATAATTCATCTTATTTTCTCATATTCTTCACTGTTCCCTAACTTACTTTTTGTTTCTTTTTAAATTTACTATTCACATCTTTCAATTCTACTTCCTAATAAATGTAAAACTACTCAGTTTTAGAAGCAGTAGTTTTGAAGAAGTAACTGTACCTTTTCTCTAAAGCTTATTTGGAAGTATTCACATGCAGGCTGAACATGACTAAGAGTACAACTGAACAACAACTAGGTGCGTTTCAGTGCAGTGAAGGCTAAACAAGAAATAAGGTTTTGTAAATAGAGAACAAATTTCAAAGTTTCTGGACCTGCCATTGTCGTATTCCACTCCAGTGTGAATCTGATTTTCCATTGTAAAGTTAATACTGAAATTTGCATATTTCTCTTTCTGCACCTTTCTAATTAGTAATGCATATTCATCGGACTGCAGATGTTTAATGACGTCAGGAAACCACACAGATAATCCATAGTACCTGCAAAGACAAAGAAATATGAGCATGTTCAGGTATACTGGCCAGAGTCACTGCCACCCTAACATTTTCAGAGAGGTGGTGGTTCCCCAAGAAGCACTTCTGATTATGACTAACTCCCTATAATATTATGAATCATTAAGCAGTAATCTGTGCCCCCAACCCCAATGAGTAACTGCAAAAATCAAGTCAGAGAAATGGCCTGGGGTTACCTGGACCTTCCAGGTATACAATTCTTGAAACTTTCTTAGGGAAGAGATGTGTCTTAGAGTCCTATCCTATCCAATAATGGCATCTTTTTTTTTTTATTAAAAAGTTTATTTTTACATCATTTTTCACATTTTTTTTTTCATCTCAATTGTAATCCCCACGGGCTTCCCATCACCAAATCACCCCTGTGTAATGGCATCTTTTTATCCCAGTTTACTAAGGAGTCCCATCTCGCAGTCTGGTGGACCACGCTGCTGGGGTCCCAAGACTGTGAGTGTCCTTACAGAATGTCCTCTGTTAAAGTAACCTCTTTTTTGGTTCTGACATCACTGGATTTAGCTAGCCTGGGGGTACAGCCCCATTTCTCATAATGGGTCAAAGCTGGGGAAAGAACCGCTTTGTTTATTATCAGAAAGTCCAGGTTATTTCCACTTTCTGCCTCTTGGTGACTACTTCTCACAGGTAACTGCTGAATCATGCTGCTGTGTTCATCAGTACAGTAACCCTAACTGCGTGCAGCTGCAGAGCAGCTGAATTGGTATGTGCTACAAGTATAGGGCACCACGCTTGAAGAATTAAGAAAAATAGAATGTGAAATAAGTCACTAATCATATTTATCTTCATTGTGGGTTGAAATAATATTTGGGGTTTAATGAGTTCAATCAAACATTATTGAAGTTCATTTCACCCATTTCCTGTTACGTTTTAGTGTGTCTGCCAGAAAATTAAACACAATATATGCTGCTCACATTATAGTCCTATCTGACAGCACTTCTCAAAAGTAGGGGGGTTACCTGAAGAATACAAAAACACAAATTTGAAGAGAAGCTTGCAGTCCCATTTCACTGCAGCACCATTTACAATAACCAAGTTATAGCAACAAATTAAGTGCTCAAAACAGATGAGAAGATCAAGAAAATGAGGTATACTATACACAATGGAATATAATTTGGTAATCAGAAAAGATAAACTTTGTAGAAACATGGATAAAGTTGGAAGGGATTATGCTAAGAGAAATAAGCCAGCAGGAGAAAGGTAAATACTGGATGGTGTCAATATATGCAATATAGAAAAATATATGCAATACGGAGAAATCAAACAAAGGGTCAGATAGAGCCAAACTGAAAAACTAACTTTAAAGTTGGTACTAGAACTGGGGTTGGGGTGGGAGGGGCTGGTAGAAGGGAAAAGGGTGAAAACAAAGTGCAGACCATGGTGAGAACTGTAGGTATTTGATGATGGGTGTGGTGTTGTAACAGGCCCGAAGGGGCAGAGCCCATACTTCCAAAGCACAGACAACAATATAAACCAATGTTATTTTCATCTAAAATAAAAAATAAAAATAAAGCAGTGGGTACTGAAATGGGGTCCCCTGACCAGCATCATCTTTATCACTGAGGAACTTTTAGAAGTGAAAATTCCTGGGCGCCAGCACACCTACAGGATCAAAAGTGCTGCAGGTAAATCTCCTGATGCACCCTCAAGTGCAGGCAGCTCTGTTTAGCTTTCCCGAGTTACCCTTAGGGGAAAAAAGTGGTTGTGAGCATAACCTTTGAGGTGAGTGCACTGGGTTCGATGCTGGCCTAGCCGCTCACCTGCTGTGTGACCCAGCTACCTTAACCTCTGTGACTCCATTTTCCATACCAGAATGATGTCAGTGTCATGTTCTCTGGTGGGTGTTCAGATTAAATGGGATGCAAAGTCCCCAACAGCCTTGCAAGTGCTCACAAGACTATGTAGTCTTGCTTTTTTAAAGTTTTAATTGAAGCAACATTGCATCATAACATTATATAAGTATCACATGTGCATCAATATAAAGCAGTGTCTTTATATACTACCCAAGTTTGCCACTGAAAATCAAAATTCTATGTAGATTTTCTTATCATTATTGTCATTAGGATCCCTGAGGCATCTCTGTCTTGGGATTCCACAGATTTCAACCCTTTTTCTTCATGGATCATGGATTAAGTATTTCAGGGGTGAGTGGTGGATACTAAGAATTGCTCGTGAAACATCTACCTTTCTGGTTGGACACATTGGACAAAGTCTTAACTGGCAGTGGTGAGGTCACTTGCTACTCACTTCCATCATCAATGAGGTGGCGCAATTTCAGCCAACGTTTTATTTATCCAGCAAACATTTACTATCATTCAATGCGAGGCACTGTTGGACGTTTTAGGGCTATCAATAAGGAAATCACCAACTGTAAGATGTGGTCAGGATTAGCATGTAACTTCATCTTGAGAGTCAGACTTTGGTTTTGCTTTGTCTTCTTTGTAACTAGCCAGTGTTGGACACAGAGTAGGAACTTACTCTGGGTTCATCTCTAGGCTTCATTTCCTTCAGAGATTGTTTTTCTAGACCTTGAGTGAAAAGTGCTTTGTATTTTTAAATCAACCCTCTCAATTGAGAAACAAGAATCCAAAACTTAGTAATATCAAGTCACATTGTAGAAGGAGATGTGAGGTCCCCTGTCCCCACGTTCCCTGTCTCCCCCTTTATTACATCATAGCAACAGAAAAAAATGGGTCACTTAGGACCACCTGCCTGTTTTAATTTAAGGGTATTAACAGATGGAACTTGCAGCATAAATGTTGGGCTCCCACAGGCCCTAAGATCCCACTGACCTGGAAGTGTAAGATATTACATAATTGCCTTTTTAAAACAGCAAATTAGGCAAAAATAGACTTGTATTCATACATTCCAAAGTCAACATGTCAACTACTAGCAAATAAAATTCTGAAGTTTTCCTCCTACCTCCTCTTTTCTTAGAACATATGTGTGGTGGTTTTGTTCATTTGACAACAATTATATTTTGAGCACCTATTATGTGCCAGGGAAATGTATCAGTGCACAAAACCGTTGAAAATCCCTTCTCTCAGAGCTTCCAGAAGGGAAGACAGAGTTTTACTCTTTATAGAGTAAAGAAGCTTTTCCTTTGTCAGGAGAGGGCAGGTTCCCTTCAGGGAACAATAAGCTGAGCAGGGTTAGCAAGGTGCTGAGGGGCGACAGTTTTAAGAGGATGCTTACAGGAGGTGTCAGTGAGAAGCTGAGGTATGGCCCAAAGAAGGTGAGGAAATGAGCTGAGCCAGGTCTGGGGGAAGTGTTCTAGGCAGAGGGCAGCACCCATGCTAGAGATGGGAAAGGTCTGGCACCTTCAGGGGAGAGAAAAGGGTAAGGGCAGAGACATGGGGAGAAGAGGGTGCAGAAGTCTGAGGGACAAATTATCCAGGAAAGTTCTCTCAGACTTTCCAAAAACTATTGGCTTTGTCACTCCAGCTTTATGACAAGATAAATAAAACAAGTGATGTATAAAATCTAAGCTGAAAAACTCTCTCCTAGCAGGTTAACATCAGCAAACAGTAAAGAAAGCCACACACCCGGGAGTTTCAGTGAGGAGCTTTAAAGATTTTGCTTACCAAGAATTTAAATCACTTACCCAAATGACAGGGTGAACCAAACGATCGTAAGTTTTATTGTATTTTCCCTGACGGGGTAGTTGAAACATCTCATGAAAGTCAACCAAATCTGTGAAAATGAGAGGCAGTTATCTAGTCAGTCCCAAACTCCACCCCCTCCCCCTAGTTATAAATCAGCTGAGTGAGCCTTGGGCTAAATTCACTTGAGCTTAAAAATGGGGAAGGTGATAGGAAACTAATACTGAATTTTCATTCTTCAGCTTCCTGGAGGCCAATGGACAAAGTAACCTAGGTCATTGCCAGGACTCCTGGCAGAATACCTTCCCTTCCCAAAATGCAATACATTGGTCCATAGCTGATCCCAAAGGAATCCTATTGCCTGGTCCTGGTCCAGAGGTCAGGTGTCCTGGGAAGTTCAATGCCACCCCCCACCCCTCACTAGCCTCAATTGCTACAAGTAGGCCGGCCATCAGGTGGGCCTGTGACTTACTCCATACAGTTCTGTGCGAATCCGAACAAAACACCTCCTGTACCACGTCCCTGTGTCACTTTCAATTTCAATCAGCTCATCTATTTGTTTTGGAGTTTTGATTCTGTTTACCTGTCAAGAGCAACAGAACACAATGTGGTGAGTTCCCTTTTCTGAGGATGCTGAGTTTCGCTCTACCTTTTTTCCCATTTTTTTTTTATTGAGATCTGACGCCTAATATTATATTAGTTTCAGGTGTAGACATAATGATCTGATAATTGTATACACTGGAAACTGATCAGCATGGCCTAGTTAATATATGTCACCTTACGTAGTTACAAATTGCTTTTTCCTGTGATGAGAAATTTTAAGACCTACAATTTTAGCGACTTTGAAATACGCTAAACAGTATTAACTACAGTTAATACAGTTAACTACAGTTAACAGTATTAACTACACGACATCCCAAGATGTGTTTTTTTTTTTTT